AACCAACACCATTGACTCATCTGGGCACATCCATTGCCTTCCGAGACAAAAAGGAGCCATATATATATATATATATATATATATATATATATATATATATATATATATATATATATATATATATATATATATATATATATATATATAAATATATTTCTTACACATTTTTCTCAGGTCTATTTTTCTCACTCTATCAGGAACATGGTAGAACTTAGCTTGTTGCAATTATTTTTTATGGCCGTGGTCTGCTCAAAACTGAATGAGGCCTCCGAGCTGTCATGTGCACACAATGGCAAGGTAAACACAGTATATTTTTTTCCTATATTTTTAATGCTAGTGTATTGTTTTGTTTCATAAGTTTCGGGGGTATGGTAAGAAATGAAGATTGTTTGGCAGGGCTCAAACTCGGAACTGTCGCCACGACAAGCCGAATCGCCTACCATGAAATAAAAGGTTATCACATTCTAAGTTTTGTTTGAAAAGCGAAAGATTTAACGACAATTAGAAGCCAAAATTGAAGATATAGCCTATATGTTTATATTATATGCCTTTATATCATTGCAACAATCAGTACCTGTTGTCGCAATGACGCAATTTATTATAGAGAATGTGTCATCGCTTTGCCGATTGGGATTATTGTCACTGTAATGACAACACTAATTTTACTAAATATCAAATCAAGCAATGCAAAGGCAGACGTTTCCCCTTTCCATTGCCTAATCCCCTCCTCTCGGCGCAAGGCCTCCTGCTTTGTGTCACTGGAACCAATGGTGGGTCGGAAGGAAAGCTTGACTCAACCTTTTTCTTCCATGGTAAGCTACCCTGCCTCATAGTTGCGTCCGCGGGAGCGGATTGGGAATGTCGTAAGGGCCCATGCAACCTTATCAACAATCCACACGCCGTTCCTCGAGGAGATGTTTCACAAATGGTGAGAGTCCCGCCACGGTTATTGTGTTACAATGAAGGAAAATGGCTGGGAGGGGAGCTCTCCGATGTGCACGTTTTTATTCCTTGCGTCCGGAGCTGTCGAATTACTGGAAATATTGGTGGGGTTAACAACCTGAACTTGAACGATCTGTTCAGCCAGCAGTGGCGTAGCTAAGGTGGGGGAGGAGTGGGGAGATTTTAAAAATTCCTACTTAAGTGGGGGCCCCCAAATGAGTGTTTTTTAAAAATTAATTATTAAATATTACGCAAAATACAGGGGCCCTGAAAGAGGCCAAGCCCCTGGGCCCCCAAATGATGGGGAATTCCTAGCTACGCCCCTGTCAGCCAGGCTGGCGAAAGGGTGTTCATTTTTTTTTTATTTTGCTAGAACTTGAAAAGTTATCGGCTCAACTTTACCGACAGTTTTAAATGGTTGCCATGTTTAACATTTAATCTTTTATGTGTTTTATTAGAATTAACTAATTATTTTTTCTCTTGTGAATGTATGAAACAGAAGTATCGGCTGACTGAACAATTGACAATAGACAACTGTCAAGAATGCTTTTGTGGTGTCTTTGGTATATACTGTGATCAGTCGATATGCATGGTTCAACCTTTCTCATTAGGTACAGTCAAACGTAGCGCTGAGTAAGCGTGTAACTTAAAAATCTTAGTTCCACAAAAGTCAGTACCAGGTAGTTGTATAGGTCCTTAGTTATCCTAAATAAATATTAGCTATGGTTGATAGTGATTTTCTTAGCCTAGTCTGATCTCCTAGGACAAAGTCTCAGTAGGTCTACTGAGGTTAGCATTAGAGTTAGAATTACAGTTTTGCTTACGTTTAATCTTAATGTTGGGACAAGATTAGAATTGCAAAAGACTTCTGAACTATTATTTATGTATACATCATGCATTATTGTTTATCGGGGCGAGGTTGCTGAGTGCTTAGCTTCCGAAACGAGGGTCCTGGGTTCGAATCTCGGTGAAGACTGGAATTTTTAATTTCGGGATTATTTCTTTCCTTTTATTGGTTTCTCAAATTTATTACCCAATTAGTTAATTAGCTAATTTTTAAAAATTGATTCTTGTTTTGTCACGTAACAGAAATATCTGTGCAAAATTTCAGCTTGATCCGAGATTGGGTGTCGGAGAAATAACGTGTACAAACTTTTGGCAAGACAGACATACAGTGAGACAGACAGAGTGAGTTGATATAAGCTTTGTAAAAGTAGAACAGAAATATTAATAGTTGTATTCACCTTAACAGAGACAAAACAGTCACCAACCCAGGGTTGCCAGACACATACACACCCAGATAAGGCCAATCGTTTTAGAAGGCATGAACACTGATCTGCGATGTCGCAAATTGTGCGCAGTTTTGACCAATAGTTCGTTGTCACGTCACAGAAACAATTTCTTGACAAAGAGTTATCTATTAAAAGTCATCATCTATGACAGAGAAACAATACACCGCGAGCCTTTTCGTGTATCCGGTGCCAGAATAAAGGAAGCCTATGCTTTTTTGTTTAAAGTTATATATTTTTTGTGTGCACTTTTGAGCCCTGCAGAAACAAATTTTTAAAAGCACTTCCGTTTGAAGCTCATTTTTTAGTTGGCAACAGAAAAGTTCATTTAGTGTCCTTGACATTGTTTACTTTTTCATGAGAATCTCCAACACAAAATCGAAACTTCTTTCCTTTCAATTGATGTAATAATATGCCAACATGTTTTATGTTTCAGATATTTCGATACAAGCCACCCCAAATCTGATCAAAGAAAACACGGCAGCGCTGCATGTCACTTGCGGCGTAAATCAGATAAAGTTTTCAGCAAGGCACGCGGTAATCACATCAATGCAAATTTTGCATTCGAAATCAGTATCTTTTCCAATGTACACAGAGCTTGTTAAAGCCAGCCCCTTGGACGGAAAACCTTATTTAGACATCACTGATTCCCAGGCTTCCGTATTTTTGGAAAACACTTTGGGTGAAAGCCGATTAAATATCAGCTGGACCAAGCTAACATATAAACATGCAGGCCTCTACCAATGTACAGTTACTGCAATAAATAGGTTTAACAAGCCCGTCTCCTATTCCAGAGTTGCGCAGGTTATATTATACAGAAAGTTTGGAGATGCCCAAAGATCGAAGAGTTATGCAGCATTGAACTACACCAGAAAGCAGCTATCGACTCGTGAATTTGACCAAAAAGTAACGGCTTTATTTGGCTACGAAACCAACAAGCCACAATCAACCCCTTTGCTGTATGCCTACTACACCGAAAAGCAACAACCTACCCCCCTGTCTTATGACTACAACACGAAAAAGCCACAATCAACCCGTTTATTTTATGAATACAGCACGAAAAAGCCACAATCAACCCGTTTATTTTATGAATACAGCATGAAAAAGCCGCAATCAACCCCTATTGAATTGGAGCACAAAATAACGACTTTGTTTGAGAATATAAATGACCTGACATCCAAAGTAAATGAACTATCAAACAGATTGAACAGAATGCCGAGTGCAAGAATAGAGAGCGATGCGCTTGAAAAGCTGCTCGCAGACTTGCAGACAAAGTTAATACAACTACAGGACGGTATGTCTTCGCTTGCAAACAGTCAGATGAACACTTCCAGAACCAACGACCGAATGGTACGAGAAATGGATTTAAAAACTAACAACTTGGTCTTGCATTTGGCAACTATTTTAAGTCAAGTCAAACTATTATTTTTGTCCTATGAAAATCTGGCCAATAGGTTTAAAGACTACAACCAAATGGTTATTCCCAAGATATCAAATGGCATCGAGATTTTGACCGCTAAGTATGAGATGGTTCTAAAGAAATATCTGGAGACTTTAAGCTCCAAAATTAATCTCCTGGATAAGAAGAGCTACGCACTGGAACACGGACAAGATGACCAGAGCATACAGATAGAGAGACTGCTGACCATTACCAGGGAATCTTATTTTTATTCGTCTGATAGCTTTAATGGCCGGAGGTACTGGCTGACCAAAGACTACGCGTTCACCAACATTGTAGAGGCTCAGAGGACTTGCGAGCTGTACGGGGGGTACCTAGCAGAGATTAACTCTGACAGGGAGTTTTGCTTTATCCGAGATCAGCTGCTCGTTCCTAGAACCTCACACTACGACGCCGCCATCACGGGCGCCTCGGATGAAGAAAGCGAGGGCGTCTGGATCAACAGCCACAGTGGAACTAGACTGACTGCGCCAAACTGGGGGCCAGGGGAGCCGAATAACTTTAAAGGCAATGAGCATTGCCAGAGTTACGGAAAGCAAGGGCCTATCTGGGTTATGAACGACCTTCCATGTTATAAAGATAGATTGGTGAAAGTGGGATTTATTTGTGAAATATCCGATAGCTAAGCGAATAAAAAAACATCTTTAAAATTCTGTGTTTTATTTTGTCGTTCTACCATATACCCAGAAAGGCTTAGACGTTTGAGATGTTTCTTTCAAGACATTTATAATCAACCAATCGAAAGGAAAGTTCTATTTCATACTTAGCGTTCTTCAGGAAAAACGCTTTTCATTTGTACATAAGTAATTATAAGTTGTGACGCGGTGGCTGAATGGTTAAGCGCTTCGCTCCGAATCCGGGGTCCTGGGTTAGAATCTCGGCGAAGACTGGGAATTTGAACTTCGGGATTTTTAGAGTCCACCCAACTCTAATGGGTACCTGACTTAAGTTGGTTAAAGTAACGGCGGTTGGTCGTTGCGTTGGCCAGCTGGCCAAAGAGACATGACCTTAACATCTGTCTGCCCTATAGACCACATGGTCTGAAGGAGAAATTTTTTTTAAAATTATAAGTGAACGAAGGTATCGTTTAGGTAGCACAACAATCAGCTGCATCTACTGTCTTCAACATTAGTCAACACAATAATGGTCGTCAATAAACACACGAGTTAAGTTGTGACCTATAAATACAAACAGATAACTTAATAAAAAATACTCAGAAAACACAAAGAGAAAAGTACATTTCTTATTCCAGGACAAACTCGCACAAGTGCAAGCAACGGGTTGCCTGATTCAGTCAGAAAAAAAAAACGCCAATAAAGTCTCTATTTAACAAGCACCTCTTGATTAGCACATGGATCCGCGAAGGACGTAATTATCTTCGCTTTCGACTGAACGTCAGTCATTTTATACGATAAGAACATTTTAAAATTTCCTTTAGCCAAAAGAGTAGAAATTGAACAAGAGTTCCTCGCCCTTTACATCCTCTTATCGCTTGCTCAGTGAATCTTAGTTATAAGCTTAAATGTTATAATTTATCATTGAAATATATATATATATATATATATATATACACACAGTGCTTTTTAACAAAAATAGGTGCCGGCATTCAGTGATGCTTTGCCTAACTTTTAATTACTAATAAATTAATAATGAACGTTTAAAACAAAAGAACAGTAACCTCTCCACCCTACATTGATAAAGGTACCGTAACAAAAAAGCACTGTATATATACAAATTATTTTTATATATTTATACATATATTATATATATATATATATATATATATATATATATAAACTTTTATTATTACGATGACATTTGTACGTAAGTAGAGCAATGGCTGTGATCTATGTGGTTTATTAAAACAGCACTGATATAACTTTACAGTGCATACAAAGTGTGATTTACATTAGCTTTCGGCTAATTAGCCAATTTAATATTTTCACACGTAAGACTAATTGAGACGAAAAATCGGACACAATGTTAACAACACAAAAGGAAGAGTAACATTTTATTTGTGTCAAGACACACAACTTTAAAAAAAAAATTGACACTTGACGGGTCCGTCACATATTTTCCTATGCATTTATCTCCCCTTGGTGATTATAATTAACTCTGCTTTTTTCTTTCTGCATTCAGATCATATTCAATAGGCTATGTTGTTGCAATATAACATGTATTTTCTGTAGCTATTTGACATACATTTCCCAAATTGAAGATACGAAACAAAATTATGAGACTACATTTACGTAGGTCCTGCAGATGCATACATAACAAATCAAAGAGTATTATACATGTCGGAAAAACTATAAATAGATAGCTTTTTTTGGTGTATCCGGTGTACAGAATAAATTGTTGCTAAGCTAGGTATTTTAATCTTAAAAGGTACGTGATAATCTGTGTGCTCTTCTCAGAAAGGCAAAATCAAATTCTCTAAGCGCTGCAGATTGCAGGAGACTGCAGTAGAAAATACTTACAATATGGAGGAAGCATTTTAAAAAAATCAAAACAAACGGGTAATTAAACTAATGCTAATAAAGAATAATTGAAACGAATGTCAACTGCTACTCATTGATAATTTGTAGAAATCATTGCTTAATTCTTCTTAAATAAGTTGGCGTTATAAGTTTAATTGAGCGTCAGTGTCATTGTTAAGTTAATCATGAAAATCTATAATACAATGTATTTTAATGTGTTAAGACCTTGTCTTGATTAGGGTTGAGTTGTAGATGATGTAAAGGTCATCTGTTTCTGTGTCCCCACGGGTAACGAGGATGTCATGTGGCCAGCACAACGACCAATCACCATTACGTTTCTCCAACAAATGTCAGGTGTCTATTAGAGTTGGTAGGACTCAGAGGGACACTAAAGGCCCCTAAACTCAAAACCCCAGTCAGTCTTCATCCAGATTTGAACCCTGGACACCCGGTTATGAATCCAAGCGCTTTATCACTAAGCCACCGCGTCTCCATTTTAATGTGTTAGCTCTGCAAAATACATATTAAACCAACCATGCATTCCATAAGTCGTTAACTGAGAACAGATAAGCAATATCGAACATTAAAAAAGAAATTCACAATAACTTCATTAGCCACCATTCACACCAATCATAAACAAACAATAAATAAACGTAATTTTCTATCTCTTCTATACAAATAACGATCTAATTTTAATCAACAGTGGTTATCACGTGACCGTTTTCCCCCCGTTTTTTTAAAATGAATATTATCACGTGACCGTTCATTTTGGTGAATAAGGTCCCTTAATATAGGTGTTATCAATTGCAAGAAAAAAGGGAGATAATACACCAAAGAAAAACGAAACATATATGAAAAAAAAAAGATTTTACAAATGATATAGCAAATGATATAAAAATGATATAACAAATGATGCTTATTTGAGATTTTTTGGCTATACATGGAGGCTAATCCGTAAATAAAAAGCTTTTTCGGTGTATCCGGTGTACAAAATTAAAAACCGTCAATTAATTGCAGTGTTTCTGATATAAAAAACATTAAAATAAAATCTCTCTCTCACTCGATAGTAATGCACAGTATTAAACAAAATTACTTAATTAGTACTAAATGTTAAGATAATTGGTTATTCCTTCGGATTGATTCCTGTATTGTCATCGACTATGAATAATTGTGCAAAGTTTCAACTTTGTGGGAAGTGGGAAAAAAAACAACATGTCAAAACGTAATAAGGGACTTAAATCCATATACTGTAATATACACATCCACCTCTCTCATTAAGTAGAAGTTATTTCCCTTATTTTGATATAAAACAAAATAATGAATCACGAACAATTAATTAACTAACTGTTTTTTTCTTTTATTGGTTCTTGTCTAGTCTGGTTCAGTGAATAACTTGAACTTGATCCGAGAATGGAAAATTAACAAAAAAATATGTTCGAATTTTAGCAGACAGAAAGACAGACAGACTGAGTGAGTTGATATAAGCTTTGTTAAAATAAACAAACAAAACAAAAAAAAAATACTTCATAAAAGAAAGCTTTTCTGAGGGGAAAAACTCTACACTTACAGACATATTTATCAATTCTGTAAGATTAATTTCATCCTTACGATATCAAACAAAATTGATTAATTACCACTAATGAATGAACCAATTGGTTAATTTTTGTATTGATTCATGTTTTGCTAGAAAAAAAAGGAATAATTATGAGTAAGGGAATTAGGAGAAATAACGTGATCAAAATTTGTACCCAGACAGACAGACTGACAAGGTAAAAAAAAAAAAACATTCATCAAACTTACAATTACTCAATGGTTTATAAACTGTTTTTTTCAAATACAAAGCAAAACAACACTTGTCTTGCTCTTGATAAACGAAATGTAGGCCTACTTCCTTAAGTGGCAAAGATGATTTGGATTTTGATTTTTGACGCATTGGCACAAATTCCAAATTCGTACCCTTTGCCAAAGATGAGTACAGATAATAGATGCAGATGTTAGATTTAGTTTGGAATCAGGTCCGTATGTAGCAAATAAAGGTCACGGTAATAGCGGCGAACATGCTTGTAATGAAAGAGGCAGATATTTGATGTCCGGCGCACTCTTCGCCATAGCCAAGAGCCGATTCGTTGCACACCTTCTTTGGTGGAGGGACAGGCCCGTTGCAGAAGTCCACGTCACAAAACGAGTAGCAGACAACCGAGGCCAGCTGTGCGCAGGTGGTCAAGTTGTTTGGGCGCAGGTTGAAAAACCTGGTGTCGTTGAAAGTTGGCGTGAACGTTTTTCCGTCGTGACAACCTCTGTGAAATAACGTGATTTTACCTGAGGAAAAAACAACAACAACAATATTTGTTTACCTGAGGAAAACAACAAGAATATTTGTTTACCTGAGAAAAAACAACAAGAATATTTGTTTACCTGAGAAAAAACAACAAGAATATTTGTTTACCTGAGGACAACAAGAATATTTGTTTACCTGAGGACAACAAGAATATTTGTTTACCTGAGGACAACAAGAATATTTGTTTACCTGAGGACAACAAAAATATTTGTTTACCTGAGGACAACAAGAATATTTGTTTACCTGAGGACAACAAGAATATTTGTTTACCTGAGGACAACAAGAATATTTGTTTACCTGAGGACAACAAAAATATTTGTTTACCTGAGGACAACAAGAATATTTGTTTACCTGAGGACAACAAGAATATTTGTATTTGGAAATTGACAAAAAGAAATATATTTTTTTAATCACTAGCTTTTCTTTCTAACTTCCTTATAACAACTGTCGCCGGGCTTCCTAATCGAGAGGTATTGGGTTCCAATCCCAAATGAGACATGTTTTTTTGAATAAAGGATTTTTAGAACGCGAGTAAGTCCATCCATATATAATGGGTAATTGACATCAGTCGGAGAAAGTAAAGGCGTTTGGTCGTTGTGCTGGCCACTTGATACACGAGTTTAATGCGTATTTTCTTTATTTTCCACGGAGAGGTGCCCAAAAATCCCGAAATTAAAAATCCCAGTCTTCACCAGGATTTGAAACCGTTACCCCCGATTCGGAAGCCAAACGCTTTACCACTCAGCCACATCGCCTCTGATAAAAAACTGTGATGTAATGAGAACCCCGACGGACGGCGTCTTAGTCTGCGTGAGATGTGACAATATATGTAGGTCGAAACTGGGTCTTCGTTGTCAAGTCAATTACAGCTATCATCCTTAATGGCAGGACTGGCCTGGACCTATTTACTTACCCCCCCCCCCTTTTTTTTTCCTCGATCGATAATAGTGCATTATGAGAAGTCTAGGTTCTAAAATTGAGTTTTGGCCAAAGTTTGTATAGAACAACTTAAAGGTTCGTCACAGAGGCTAAAGATTCAGAAAAAGTTCATCATTTTACGATCTCACGCGAGGATTAACGAGGACACACGAAAAAAAGACACGATGACACACGAGGACACAGACTCATCTGTACAGTGGTTCTCCTTTCCGACCTTGCGATCTATAGGGCTGATAATGTTAAGCTCAACGGTTAACAAGCAGGGTGTCATGTTAACACAACGACCAACCGCCTTTACTTTCCCCAACTAAATTCAGGTATCCATCAGAGGTGGGTGGACTCAAGGGCCTCCCAAAAAATTCCGAAATTCAAAATCCCAGTCTTCCCCAAGATTCGAATCCAGGACCCCAGGTTCGGATCTCTTAATCTTAATCACAGGTTTCTTTGCTCCTAATCCCAGTAATCCTACATGAAAAGCGAATCTCACGCCGTAGGCGTACTTATTTTAACCTTATCGGTAAGGTATATCCTGGGTGAATACAGGAATCGAAATTTCAAAAGAAAGGGACTTTAGATTTTTCTATTTCAAATTCAGATAGAGCTCTAGTAAGAGTAAAAATAATTCCTAGTCAAACTGTATTTCCATTTGATTAGATCAACAAAATTATCTTATCTTTTTAAGATTTATCTGTATATGGGAAAAATTGTTCCAAAGATCAGCTGTCAAGTAAAGAGAATATTGCCATAACTGAATCTTTAATCAAAATTGTTTTTAAATAGTTGTATCTTTGGCATATAGTTGTTGTTTTTTGTTTATTACAAAGTTTGTACACGTTATTTCTCCTCCACCCAAATCTCGGATCAAGTTGAAATTTTGCACAATTATTTTGTTTTTGTCTATTACAAAACAAGAATGAATTAAAAAAAAAATGTTAATTAACTATTGGCACTGTAAATACTGTGTTTGGTATCAAAGGAGGGAAAGAATCGTATCTGACAGATGAAATGGTATTAGTTGAATAGGCCCATTAGGAGGCTTAAGCCCTGAGTAAACATTTAAAAAGCAATCACGGTAACATTCACAAAGATGTCAACTCTCTTCATTTCCCAACTGGTCCAGACAAGTGATACGATCACAGCGCACAGATTTATTATTGTCAATCTAGATCTATTACAAATGTAATCCCATGAATGATCGAAACTAATTGTTACTATTACACATTAAGCTTTGTTTTTTTAAAAAAAAAGCATTTAAAAAAATATTTTCATGTTTTTTGTTGGTTGAGAAGGCTAAATGTGGCTCAGCAGACTAAGAAAGATCTCACAGAGATCGGGTCACAAAGAAATCTATGCACAACGGGTACTCGACTACTAAATGAGGTTGAAACACACTGGTCTAGGCCCAAGGCAATGAGTATTTTTTTTTTACAATATCTCTTCATGGGGGAAGGCCGAGGGTGGAGCTAGTATGTGAATCTAAAAAAAAAACAAAATACGGCTCTAACGATTTTCCTAAAATTTAACAGTTAATATTTATCACTGAAAAAAAAAAAGAATGACCAGCTCGTTGACCATACGGGGAAAACTCAAGTTTGACCGTTATAATTTTTCAAGTAGGAAAAAAAATAAATTTAGATTTGGCTAGAGAGCTAGATCTAGGTCTAGACTCAACATCGGCTAGATAGAAAAACTATCACGTTCGTAAAAAAAAAAAAAAAAAAAAAAAAGACTATCGCGTTCGCACAGTGAATTGTTCCCAGGATATAGGAACTATATTGTTTACTTTTCTACCGACCCCCTCCCATTTTCTAATTTAAAACAATATAAATCTATATGACAATTATTAATTCAAGAGTTTAGTAAATGAATGTTCAGGAAAATTTTGCGCAAGGTCTTTTAAGTCTAGATCTATAGTCCTATCATTGGCATATTATAAAGTGCAGTTGATCTATACATTCACTTAACCAAGACTAGATCTAAAGGTCTATCACTGGAGTATTATAAAGTGTAGTGGATCTATCTATACATTCAGGGGAAAATTGTTTTTTGATCTAAAATTCATTAGTTATTACGAGTAAAACAATCTCTCTATCAGTTGTACCAAGGAGGTATTTTTAATATATGTTTTTTAAAAAGGAAAACATTTTTTTTTTTCATATTTTTATTGTTTTCCAATTGAAACATACGTTTAGTTACTGGCTTTTTGGAAGTCTCGCCCAAGATTACTAACCATTTGAAATCGACCTTTCGATCATACATTTGTCCCAGGTAGACTTGGACTCAGAACAATTTTGATAATAGTCTTTGTAGTTTGTATAGTTAGTAGAAGAGTTGATCAGTTTTGTATAGTTCATCTCACATTGGCTGTTCTCTTCAGTGCCCACACATTGATAACACAGCAGCGCACCTGTTTTAAAACATATTTGTATTTGTATAATTGCATTACATTTAAAATTTAAACTGTCTACAACCAGTAGTTCAATGTTGTCGAAAATCGTGCTAATAGAAGAATCACATTCGAAACCGATGTCCTCCTTAAGTGTTGAAGAATCTGGAGGATGAGTGGAATGAACCGCCGCTCTACAAATTAAAGGGGCTCCAGTTCGAATCCTGACTCAGCTGATGTGCTCAGTAAACGCCCAAAGGTAGCACGGAAAGCCTTTCAAAGATGGCTGCCTGGTCGTGCGGTCTGCGCGCTGGACTGTCGTTCAGATTTATCGGTGGTTCCGGGTTCAAACCCTGCCCGCTCCCATCCCCCGTCGTCATGCGGGAGGTTTGGACTAGGAAGTAATTATCCTCAACATTGAAGGAACATCCGAAACATGTAAAACATTTTACAAACAAAGACATCCCCCCCCCCCCCCCCCACATATCCAAATAAGATAGATTGAAAAGAATACTGAGCTTACTATGGTTTGAAATATGTGTTGTAGAAAGCGATGGATTTAAAAAAGTGCATAAAAATTAACATTTTATCTCACAAAAACAAATCCGCTGCAGGCCTGACAGGTAACGCAGGATTGACTGGTAACGCAGGTCTAACTGGTAACGCAGGTCTAACTGGTAACGCAGGTCAAGAAATAGATAGTAAGAATTCCAAAACGAAGGTCTCAAACCAGCTCCAGTTAGTACCCGGAATTTTTAATGCGCCCAACCAGCTCCAATTAGTACCCGGTATTTTTAGTGTGACCAACCAGTTCTAGTTAAGTTCTCAACATTCTGAATAGTTAGTTAAAACGGTACATAGTTGTACTGGCGAGATTATAGCTCCCTTTTACATCGTCTGACCCACACAATGCTTTGACTAACACGTCAGTTTTGAATGTAGATATTGTATATGGCTTTATGGTTATAAGCTGTGCAAACTCTAAAACACACTCTCTTGAAATCCTAAACCAATGACTTTTGGATAGGTCATTCGACGCTCACTATTTACACATTGGTCGAGAGGCCAAGTGCGCTTGAACTTTGCTTGGCTTGGCTACCTAAAAGGGGGCTCGAGGTTCGACACCCGACTCGGGC